TTTAACTTCAGTTTTCTCGTTGACTTCCCCAAATGAGAAGTTCTCTTTCGGCCTTCTGACCATCTTACTACATAACAGATATTTGTCACTCCTGTGTGCATCAGCTGCTTGTTACCTACCTGACAGGTTGACACCTAACCCTTTGACATAGCTTTGCCAAGTTGGTGTTGTATATTGCCATCTTTCCCCACTCTGCACCCCCACCAGAAGATCATAATCTATTCCAGACCCCCGCAGGATTCTGGACCTTCAGCAATAGCACTAGGTTTGGCACAGTGGGCAATCAGATATTTATTGGATGGTGAAATGAATGCAAATCTGTGATCTACTTTTTCGTCTGCATCTTTGTTAGAACACTAAGAATGCTATTGAAACACTTTCCTAAACACTATCTTGCCCATAAAACTGAGTTGATTCTGCCTCATAATGACCCTATAGGACAGAATATAACTGCCACATTGGGCTTGCAAGGAAGACTGTCATCCTACAGAAGCACACTACCACTTCTTTCTCCTGTGTGTTCAAAGTGGCCACCTTTTAGCAGCTGAGTATTTTAATGCTCCACCAGGACTCCTGGGCTTTGATCATAGCCCCCTGCACACCCAGGTCTGTGCCGTGCTGCCTTATCCACTATTAGACATTTATCTGCAATTGTCACTGAATAGTCTTTCTTTTTTTTTTTTCAATGCTATTTTCTTTTTTTAATTAAAACATTTTTAATCATTTCATTAGGGGCTCATACAACTCTTATCACAATCCATACATACATCAATTGTGTAAAGCGCATTTGTACATTCATTGCCCTCATCATTCTCAAAACATTTCCTCTCCACTTAAGCCCCCGGCATTAGGTCCTCATTTTTCCCCTCCCTCCCTGCTGCCCCCTCCCTCATGAGCCCCAAATTTATAAATTGTTATTTTGTCATATCTTGCCCTGTCTGACGTCTCCCTTTACCTTCTCATACCCTACAGCTTTTCTGACAAGATAAGCATCTACTGTGTCTCCTCAAAATTCTAATAAAAAAATTCTAATCAAGAGTAAGAAATTGCCAGAATGAAAATACTTCTTCTCTGATCTTTTAAATTAGAACACTTGTAAAATGAGTAGAGTTGTTCTTAAACAGATATACCTGTCTCATTAGGCCGTCTTTGGAATGAGTCAGCTTCACATTCAAGCAATTGGAAAGGGCAGTTAGTGGCCATTTATCATCTTGAATAGATCTGTTTCAAACAGATACCAAATGGAATATTTTGGTCCTATCGCATTTTTGCTGAGCCTTTTGTACAAAATGGCCATAAGTGAACAGTGAAAGACATACATACCAACCTTCACAAATTGTCTGCCTGCCCTTCCTTTCTTCTCTCTGATCATGGATTTGAAGCTTGTAATCAGAAATCTACCCTCTTAATTCTGATTACTTGTAGAACTTTGCCCACATGTTGATCATTTCTAAATTAGTGCACCCTTTGGTTTTTGTCACGTTGAGGTGGAATTTCAAATTCAAGCTCACTGTCAACGAGTTGACTCCAACTCATATGGACCCTATAATAAGGTAGAAGTGCCCCATGGGTTTCTGAGACTAACTCTTTATGGGAGTAGGAAGCCTTGTTTTTCTCCTGCGGGGTGGCTGGTGGTTTTGAACTGCTGACCTTGTAGTTAGCTCAGTGCGTAAACCACTGTGCCACCAGGGCTCCTTTGAGGTAGAATTCATATAGAGCAGTGGTTCTCAACATTCCTAATGCCGTGATCCTTTAATACAGTTCCTCATATTGTGGTGACCCCCCCCCAACCATAAAATTATTTTTGTTGCTGCTTCATAGCTGTCAGTTTGCTACTGTTATGACTCAGGCAACCCCTGTGAAATGGTCATTTGGCCACTAAAGGGGTTGCAACCCACAGGTTGAGAAGCGCTGATATAGAGTCAGATTCACCCTTGTTTTGACAAAATTGTAGTTCGTAATCACTATTGAAATCAAGGTACAGTACTAGGATATTTCTGTCATCCACAACGTTTCTTCCTGACTATACTCAATCCTCCCCTCACTGCCAGCCGTTATCAACCACTGATCTAGTTTCTGGCCCTATAGTTTTGTCTTTTCCAGGATTTGGGAGACATAGAATAAAAATATATAGTCTTTTGAGTCTGGCTTATTTTACTTAAGAGTATACTTTTGAGTATACTTTATACTCTATATAATAGAGTATAAAGAGTATACTCTATTATAGCATGTATCCATAGTTTGCTGCTTTTAGTTAATAATACATTAGGATTTATTTTCTGTGTTTGACAATACTGTTAGGAACATTCATGTACTCATGCACAGATATTTGTGTGGACATAAGTTTTTATTTCTCTAGGGTAAATACCTAGGAGTAAAATTTTGGAACTTTATTAAAAGTGTGTATGCAACTTTTAAAGAAACTTCACAACTGCCTTCCAAAATCACTGTACCATTTTTGATTCCTGAAGCTAGTATCTCTTCCAGTGAAATGTCTATGGAAGATATGTTCCCAGTTCCTCCCAAAAAGGGTGACCCTCCAGAATGTGGAAATCATTAAACGATATTATTAATATTACACAAAAAGATTTTACTGGAGATAATTTAAAAACTCTTGCAGCAAAACATCCACCAGGAGTCCATTATTGCAGTGCACTCCCTCCACAGCTCTCTGTCAGACAATACATGTTGTTATCCAGAGGGTTCTCATTGATTATATTTTAGAATTAGATTATCAGGACTTTATGCTTTCTTTCTCTCTTCTTTCGATCAACTAAAAAAAAACACATCTTTTTTTGCTCATTAGGTGGGGGTTTACCTGATTAGGTCATCATTTTTGCATTAAACAACTTATCAAACTTTCCATGATCCCCCTCCAGTTTATTTTCTTGACACTCTTTCAAAGAATAAAATTTAAACAGTGAAAAAAGTTTAAACATTTTAAATAAAGTGTAATCCATCACATATTTTTCTGTTATGTATCCTCTTTTTGTACTAAGAAATATTTGCCTTATGAAGATTTTCTTAGATTTTTCTAGATGCTTTATAGTTTTATGGTTTGCATCTCAGTCTGATTCATTTTCAATTGGTGTTTATGTATTGTGTGAGGCATGGGTGAAGATTTATGGTTTTGTGTCCATTTTTTCCAGTATCATTTGTTGAAAAGACTCCTTTTTCCATTTGAATTACCTTGGTGTCTTCATCAAAAATCAGTTGAGCATATGTATGTTGATGTATTTCTGGACTCTATTTTATTGATTTTTATATTTACCTTTTTGCAAATACCTTACTCTTGTTCACTGTAGCTTTATAATAAAGTAAGTTTTGAGATAACGCTGATGTGAGTCCTCAAGCTTTATTCTTTTGGTGTGTATGTTTCTGTTATCACTTAGCACCTTTGCTTTTCCACATAAGTTTTAGAATCAATTGTCAATTTTTACAAAGAAGCCTCATGGGATTTTTGGCTAGGTTGAATTTAATCTACAGGTCACATGGGGAGAGAATTGTATTCTTGACAATAATGAATGTTTTGATCCATGACTATGAGATAGCTGTCCAATTATTCAGGCTCCTTGAGTTCTCTCATCAGTGTTGATTGTATTTTTCAACATATGTAACTTTCACACTTTATTAGAGCAATTCTTATGTATTTTATATTTATTGGGCCTATTGTAAATGGTGCCTTAAATTTTTTCAGTTCCCAGTTGTTCACTCCGGAACCTTGGTGGTGTAGTGGTTATGAATTGGGCTGCTAACCATATAGGTCAGCAGATCAAAACCATCAACTGCTCTTTGGGAACAAAGATCAGGCTTCCTACTCCCATAGAGTTACAGTCTTAGAAACCCACACGGGTAGTTCTGCCCTGCCCTGAAGTGTCCCTGTGAGTTGGCATCAATGGTAGTGACATTTTTGGGTTTTGTTTTTTCTCTTTTGGAGTTGTTCACTGCCAGTATAGAATTACATTGGGGCATATTTGTTGAGGGTTCAAATTCAGACAACTGAAATAATGCAAATATTACAACAAAGTGAGTTATTTTAATTTTGTAGTTTCCCAGTACCAATCAGTTATATTTACACTATACTGTAGTCTATCAAGTGTGTAATAATAGCATTATGAAAAAGTTTAAACTATTGTGAAAATTAACAAAATTTGACAGAGTTATGAAGTGAGCATATGCCGTTGGAAAACTGGCACCAAAAAAGATATACTGAGCATTAATGGAGCGAGATTACATGTCTGTCGTCATTAGGAGGCCCTGAAGAGACCTTCAAGTGAACATTATCAAACTTCAGTTGCTACAATATAATATTAAATTGAGCTTTTGTAATATATTGCAAAATATTCAAACTAAAAAAAAGATTGAAAAATAACACTTGATGTAGGGTTGCAATAAACCATCAATTTGTAAAAAAACACATCTGCAAAGTGCAATAAAATGAGGTATGCATGTATATGTAAATACAGTTGTTTCATGTTGTTGATCTTATATTATTCAACTTTAGCAAAATCTAGTAGCTTCCCCTCCCCCCTCCTATTCCCTTAGATCCTCCATTTAGATAACTTCCATGCACGTTCTATGATTAGAGGCCATTTTATTCCCTCTTTCCAAACTCGTATATATCTTTCTTTTCTGCCCCTTCCCACATAGTAAGGTCCTTTACCCAGTGTTCAATAGAAGTGTTAAGAGTGGACTTCTTGTTCTTAAAGAGAAGCATTTAATCTTTCACAGTTAAATATGATTTAACATAATTTGGCTATCAGGCCAAGGAACTTTCCTTCTATTCTTGGTTCACTGAGATTTTCTAAAAATGATGATGAATGCTACAAGAATGCCAAACACTATTTTTGTATTTAATGAAATAACCATATGGTCCCCCCACCCCACCACCGGTTCCTTAGGCTTTTTATAACGTGAGTGATATGGTTTGATTTGTGAATATCAAACCAACCTTGCACTCCTAGGCTGAACCTCATGGGGCCATTTTGTATTAATTTATGGAGAAGTCATAGATAGATGCCATGAGGTAGGTGGCAATTTCTTAACCATATGTCTGGTATATAGGTCACCAGGACCTTTTCCATCCATGCTTAGGGGAATGCTAACCTTCTTGACTTCTCAGCCAGCACATTTGATATGGTGTTGTTTCACCTTCATTTGGTCTTAGGCTGTCCATGAGAGTGAGGGGAAAGATAACAGACATAGTGTCTGTTCTGTCGGCAGACCACATTTGACCTCATTTGATGGGAAATTGAGGTCTTAACAACTAGTAAATGACATGGTCAGAATTTGAAGGCAGGTTCATTTGGGAAAACTTTTGTCCATCCTACGACATCATATTGCCTCCCTTGGGAGTGAGTGAGAGAGAGAGAGAGAGAGAGAGAGAGAGAGAGAGTAACAGAGAGAGAGAAAGTGAAAGAAGAGAGGTGGGAGAGAGATTGATGGAGACTCAGAAGAATGTTCTCCTGCTTCTCATTGTCATCTCAGAAGCTGGACTTTTTTAGGTATGTCAGTAAGAACTTACCGTATATACTCGTTTATAAGCAGAGTTTTTCAGCACATTTTTAATGCAGTTTTTGTGGTAAAATTAGGTGCCTCGGCTGATATTCGGGTCAGCTTATACTCGAGTACATACAGTAGTTTGAATTTAAGTGCTGCCATTTACTTGATTAGTGACACCTCTGTCTGAACCCCATTCAAAAAAAAATAAATGCAGCATTTTAACATGGGGTTTTTATGAGGAATACAGCTAGTGTATGTAAAGTATCTTACATATATAATGCCAACTATTATTATTGATTTCCTCTCATTAACGTTTGGGTTTGGAAAATGCCAAATGAGACTTAGAATAACTTGTTGTTTATTTAGTTCTTCTTTTAACTAAAGAGTTATAGCAACTCCTTTTGAGAAAACTAGATTTCATTTTCTCCACTTCTCACTTCTACCTTCCCCAAGTCAAAGAACACCAATGTATTTATTAAGCTTATTTTCGGATTTGGGACATTTTAAAAGTACTGCCCAAAGCTTTGGGCTTTCCTAAGGTCTGGAAGTGGATTTCCCAGCATGGAAAATTGGACATGCCATATTCATTTGTACATGGGAAACCAACCCTTGTTTGTAGCCAGCTCAAGCCTCTTAGCCAACATAGATCTGACAGTTTAGCACTTGGTGAGACTCTAAGACAGAAACAAAATTCAGGCTCTCGGGGAGTAGTGATTGCTATTTCTTTTTGAGGTTATTTTGGTTGGCAAGGAGACCTGGAGGTGCAGTGGTCTGACAGCTTCAAGTCTGGTAGTTTAAACCCATCAGCTCCTCCTTGAATTGGAATCAACTTCATTCCAGTGGACTGTTATTTGCCACAAGTAGGCCCAAGAATTCTGTGCTTGATTAATCAGGTCAGGAACGTATCAATGAAAAGTGGATTCTGAAAGAGAGCAGCCCTCATCAAATGGATGCAGTGTCCAAGACTTCAGGAAGACTGTTAGCTGCAGCTCCAGCAATCCATAAAACCTCCTCAGCACTGAGGCCAGTGATTGGGATTTTGTAGCAGTGTCCTTCCAATTAAAAAATGTTGTATGACAGATGAAAGAAAAGGAAAATACATTGTATTTTCAGAATATTTGGAGAGCATCGCAGTGTCCTTTACTTTGGGAATCACTAGTCTTTAATTAGAGAGGCCTAGTGATGTAGTGGTTATGCATTGGGTTGCTAACTGCAAGGTCAGCAGTTAGCGGAACTTATTGGGCTTATTTTTGGAATCAATGCCCAGACAGACTTTCTACTCCCACAAGGAGTTACCACCTCAGAAATCCACAGGGGGCAGTTCTACCCTGTCCTATAGGGTTGCTATGAGTCAGCATTGACTTTATGGCAGAAGAGAGAGTATCTTTTTTTAAAAATTGCATTCTTTCTAGCCCTGTAGTCATTAACTCAATAAACTTAAAATTTAAACTGTGGCTTGTAATAATTGTCATGAGCTGATATCATGATGAATTCAATACACACGTTATAGTTATTATCTTTGTTTAAAAGTCAGGGAATTAATGTTTGGATGATGTTTAGGGTTTTGACAGATCTCTTCCATTGGTCATTTTTCCCCAAGTTATATAGCTGGAAAAAAATGTAACACTTCATACATTTTCAAAGCATATTGATCACATAATTTTGTCTCATGTTTGTGCTACTTTATTATAGTTAAAGTAGGTCTTAATTTCTATTTTATGATGAGAGAAATCGACCTTGAGAATATGTTTTCCTAAAAGATCATTGGACTTAAAATACCCAGAAACCAATTCTGATTTTCGCCTACTGCTTTTTTCACCCATGAAATCTCTGGGCTTTGGGCATGATCTCCACCGTTAGGATTAACATATATGAGAGGAAATAAGCTTTGGGAGTAACTTGTACTCTTCATACATGTCTACATTGGGTAGGGGAAAGGGCCCAATCAGGAATTCCCCCAAACTAGTCATTACATTTTAAAAAATAACTTTAACTACAATTGAGCCTTGGTGGCATAGTGGGTTACATGTTGGACTGCTAATCACAAGGTCAACAGTTTGAAGCCACCTTGCTGATTTGCATGGGAAAGTTGAGGCTTTCTACTGTAAAGATATACAGCCTTGGTAACACAAGGGGCAGTTCTACACCATCCTATAGGTTCTCTGAGAGTCACGATGGACTCAACAACAGTGATTGAGTGAGTTTACAATTAAAGGGCAGTATGGTAAGACCTTGCCTGCTAAATCTGGCAGGGCCTCTTGACTAGCTATTTTGTGTTAAGCACTGTTTTAGGTGTTACAGGGAAATGGAGATTAAAACAACAAGAAAAATATGATCTTAACCTCTTCAGGTTTAAAGAAGATTTCAGGGAATGCTTTTAGTTTAAGGTTTAAAGATTATCCCAGGCAATCGTTTCTGGGATTCATCCAGCCTCCATGGCTCTAGAAAGTCTATGAGAATTCTGTTCAGTGTCCCCACCTTTGATCAGGATTCTTCTATGGGATCTCTGATCAAAATGTTTAGTAACTGTTCCTTTGTGGAGTTCCATATCTTTTTGGAATAGCATCAAGGAGTGCTGCACTCAGTCACTGTCTGAGAGCAGCCTATGGGAGGAATGCCTTCAGCACAAACACAGACAGATTTCAGAAATATTTCTGAGGCAGTAGCTGGAGTCTTTGGTCACTTGTATAGTTGGAGATCTTTGGGTTGTATTTTCTTGGCATACAAATGTCTTCTCCTGTTTAATTCTTTTTGTATATCCTTTTGGGTCAGCTTTAAAGGTTTCTCCTTCTGAGAAATTTTTCCTTGAAGCATATTCTCTAAATGTCACATGGTGAACTCATCACTTAGAATGATCACCCTTAATCTCTTTCTGGCTAGTTCCTAGTGCAATCATTCAAGTATGACCCAGCTCGAGCAACACCTCATCCAGAAAGTCTTCTTGATTTACCCCATGAAGCTGGGTTGTGGCTCTTCTTAGCTCCCAGAACATTTTGTCTCATTGTATTATCATTATTAGGTTACTTGTCTCCTCACTAGACTCTGAGTCCCTTGAGAAGATCTATATAGATTTCCCATCTTTGGACTTTTACTAGGACTAATACTTCATAGGGGCTCAGGGAAATTTTGGTGAATGAGTGATGTGGATAGGCAGAAGGGGAGAAGACAGTTGAGGTAGAATGAACTGCTTAAGTTAAGTCATGGAAGGGGTAGAAGGAAGGATTTGCTATTTAGTTAATCAAATGCCTTTTTCTTTTTCCAAATATATGTGGCTTGCCTCAAAGCTGTCATTTTGAGGAAAGTAGATTTTGATGCATACCTATGGGAAAGGAGTGTCTTGCTGGCAACTGAAAATGATTCATTGTTGGGAATTTTTGTTGAAAACAATCATTTGTTTGAGTATTTCCTGAGAGACTTCTTCACCAAGAGGAAACAGAGTGGATGGAAATGGAATTTTACTGCTGCCAGGAAAAGTGCGATGAAGATCAAATCTTGCCCGCTGACTACTACCAGAATAGACAATTCCATAGAGTGAAGAGGTTGCAAAGTCCCAGCTAATGGCTCATATGTATTTAGTATTCAGTGCAGCTGAACTCTCATTCTGTAATGGGATTTAACTAATATTGTCAATCCAATTTGTAATGTATGAATTAGTAGAGACCCATACATCATGGTGTTTGCTGCCTCTGCCTAATGGTGGTCATCTTTTAGATGGAAAGGAACAACAGATCTGGCTGGTATCCCACGTCTCAGCAGCCGCTATCAGCCACCTACTACTGCTCCATATTGTCAGGATATAGACGTGCTGAGGCTAGAGACTGACAAAAGTACGTTGTAAGAGCAACTAAAGATTTAGCCTTTGATCTTATGTAATATTCTACCCTTGTGACCTGGGTTAGACTCTGAATGAAGCCCTTAAAAACCAAACCCGTTGCTCATGAATAAATTGTAACTCATATTGGCTCTATATAAAAAACCTAACTCAATGCCATTGAGTTGGTGCTGACTCATAGTGAACCTATAGGACAGGGTCCCATAGGAAACTGCCCCTGTTAGTTTCTGAGACTGGGAGTAGAAAATTTTACCTTTCTCCCTTGGAGCAGATGATGATTTCTTGCTTTTATCAACCCAATGAGTAACCACGACTCTACCAGGGCTCCTGTAGTGGCCCTATAGGATAGAGGAAATTGACTGATGGAATTTATATAATCTCTGTGGAAGAAGACTGATACATATTTCTCAGGAGAGCAGCTCTAGTGGGTTGAAACTGCTGTACCATACAATACAATAGCATACCCACTGCCAACAAGTTGATTCAGACTCTTAGCGCCCCTATACGGCAGAGGAGAACTGATTCTTAACGTTTACCAGGCTGTAAATCTTTTTTTTTTAATCATTTTATTGGGGGCTCATACAACGCTTCTCACAATCCATACATACATCCATTGTGTCCAGCACATTTGTTGCCATCATCATTCTCAAAACATTTGGTTTCTACTTGAGCCCTTGGTATCAGTTCCTCATTTTTCCCCCTCCTTCCCCATTCCCCGTTCCTCATGAACCCTTGATAATTTATAAGTTATTATTATTTTATCATATCTTACACTGCCAATGTCTCCCTTCACTC